GATGGGAACGACAGGTGGACAACTCGGCGTTTTGGGGAAAGAGTGGAGCGACCTCGGCAGAGAGCGCCAGTTACATTCACGATCTCTTGGTGTGCCATGCGCGGCGTAAGGGGTTAGTCTCTATCTCGTTTTTTTCGACATTGCGAATTTCTACGAGAATATTTCTCATGAGGAGCTAAGGCGTATTGGTTCCCACTTTGGCTTCAACATGGGGCTCCTCAAGGCTCTCTGCACCCTCTACAGGTCTCCTCGGCACGCCAGATGGGGGGTGAGCGCCAGCGAGCAGATCACGGCGAACGGAACGGTCATAGCAGGGTGTTCTTGTCGACGGGGCTCTCCGAACTTATGTTGTTGTCCGTCTTGGGAAGTGGCTCGGGAGGTCCCACCATGCAGGACCATCAACGTGATCGACGATCTGACTGGCCACATCAATGGGGGTCCAGAGACGGCGATCAGATCCGCAGGTCAGGTTTGTGCCCTGGTTTAGAAGGGCCTGGAGGAGGCCAAGCTACCCATCTCTCGGGACAACAAGTTTTTGGCTGTGCTCTGATACGAAGGTCCTGGAGGCCGAGGGTTCCTGTCTCGGGGGCGACAAGAGGGCGCTGGCTCACAGGGGTCTCGGAGGGGACTCGAACAGCGGCCACAGGAGACGTCTCGGAACCCAGATCACCAGGACCCAGCAGGCCAAGACGACGGGGGCCCGTCTCGCCATGTTCGGCTCAGGCCCAGTCGTGTCCGGGCTCTGCCGCGCGGCTCCCCTCGCCAGGTCCACCTGGGGCACGGCCAACTTGGGCGTTCCCGACACTTCCCTGAGACATCTTCGTGTTCTGGCGGCTGAAGTTGCTGGAGGAGTTCCGCGAGGAGCGAGCATCGGCTTCCGTTTTCTTGGGCGCCCTTCGGCGTGGCGCAGAGACCCGTTAGTGGTGACGGCGGCGCTGTGCATCAAAGAGTTCGTGCACGTCTACTGGCACAAGACGGTGTCCAGAGAGGTCCTTCAAAGCGGGTTCGACGGCGCACGAAGGATACTCACCCTCGCTCGTCCTTGGGTTGCGGTGTAACAACCCATCGCGGCCCTGGTGTTCACGCTTCGTCGACTAGGTTGGTCGCTTGATCTGGACACCGAGATTCGCGACGACGTGGGAAGGGGTTGGTCGTTATTGAAGTTCCCGCATGCATTCTTCGGCCACGTTCTCAAAGTCGGCGAGCGCAGGGCCATTGAAGGTGATGGGCAGGCCTGGCAAGCGGTTTTCAAGCACTGGAATGGACCGATGTTCTGGGTTCCGCTTTATGAGTTGCTGTGTCAGACGAAGGTTCCAGGATGGCGCGATCATCGTAAGAGTTGTTTGAAATCCGTGGTGGCCAATGTTTCTTGGAGCCAGGAGCGGATTAATTTTCATGCGAAAGAGGTCACACATGTCTGCCAACCTTGCCATGGTACTGCAGGGCCGACACTTCATCGGAAAATTGAATGCCCTGCGCACGCTGCTTGGAGGCGCGAGTATCCGGACGATTGGGTTCGGTCGGCGGCGGCCCTGGTCTCCTTTCTCGCATTGGAGGACCAGGAGCTTTTCTGCAGAGGACTCTTTCTTGATCCAGGTGCTTTTGTTCGCAGGCCAGACAGGATCGCCGTGGACCCGTACACGAAAAGGATCAACTGGCTTCGAGAGGGGCCCTTTTTGCAGGCTGGTCAGCATGTGTACTCCGACGGGTCAGGGTTTGAAGTGTGGTGGCCATCTTTACGGGTCGCGGGATGGTCAGTCGTTGTTGCAGATGTGAATGGCGAGATTGTTTCGGCTCTTTCCGGGGTCGTACCACTTACAGAAAAAAAAAGGGCCATACCATATTGCCAGAGACGGGGAAGATTATGCGGTGCTCGTGTTATCTTGGAATGCTACGGTGGCCCCTAGAGTCACGGTCCATATTGATTGTGTTGGCACGCTGGGCTGCACCAGGTTTCTGGGATCCTCGGGGAATTCGTGGCCAGCTGAACAGACGGCGCATTGGTGGAGTGAGATCGGGGACAGAATGCAAGGGGTCAGATTCGCAAAGGTTCCTTCTCACATGCCCTGCCACGCGACGCGCGAGGGAAAGTTTTCACACAGGGACTGGCGTTGCAACCAGGAGGCCGATCGTCTTGCCAAAGAGGGAGCCCAGCCATTTTTGGCGGACGACGGGGACCTCTTGCCTTTGGGCTGCCTGCACGAGATTGCTAAACGCGTCGCTCGTTACAGGGCACTACAGCAGGCTGCCCTTTCCCATGCTGAATACAGAGATCACGTGGGGTTCGAGTGGATGAGTCAACTTGAACTCGTTCGAGTTCCCGGCCTCCCGATGGCCGCCTGCTGTAGGGGTGACAACCAGGACACCGAGGAGCCCCACGAAGCCCTTCAAGATGAGTTTGTTCAGGGGTCTTGGGCCTGGAACGGGCACTACATTCGGAAGGTCATGGTTCTCGAGGGCGGGGTCCAGGCCGATTCGATGATTTTCTGCACAAGTTGTAGCAGCAATGTGGCTTGGGAGTTGCGGGCTCATGCGAAATCGAGGAGCAAACTACGCTCCAGGTGCTGCCCCCGAACCTGCACTGGAGCCAGGAAGCTATCCAGGATAGAGAGGGGACTTCATCCCTTGTCCAGTTCAAGCTGTATGGTCCAGGAGGCAGGCGGGCTGAACCAGTTCGAGACCCAGTAGTGGGCGCCCTTCCTGGAGGACTCAGAGGATCCCAGTAGGAGTGAGGGCCAGGCTTCCATTCGTTTGTCGAACTCGAAATTTCGAGCGAGGAGCGGGGTCCCTTGGATTGACCTCGGTCGAGGTCTGGCCCTTTTTGGCTTGTCGGAAGGCGACGCGCGGTCCCTGGGAACCCAGGCCCGCGAGCGGGCCCGCTCTCGTTCCGTGGAGGAGGATGAGCTCCTCCCCGATGGGCCATGACGGCCCTGCGCCTGCTTTTGGCGCGGCCCGGCGCCTCCCTCGCGTCATGGGCATTTTCTTCTCTTCGCATGATGAATGAAGCAGCGCCTTTCTGCTCTAGAGCTAGCGAGGAGCAGGAGAGGGGAGGTGGGCGAGGAGGAGGAGGAGGACGGAGAGCTGAGGGGGAGGGTGTTGAGGAGGATGAGGACGAGAAGGGGGAAAGGAGGAGGCACCACTCGCGCCCGCAAGGCGCCGTTCGCCCGCGGGCGGCCCACCCCCACGACGCCTCGCGGGCGACCGCCCTGGCGGCACTGGGCGAGGAGGGCGTCTCCCGCAGGAGCGGTGGCGGGGGAGCGCTCCGCTCCCAGGGGGGGCCCCAGAGCGGGGGTTGCTGCAGGCCCCTGAGTTCCTCACTCGCTCGCTCAAGTCATACGCCGTCCGTCGCGTGGGCGGGAACAATCAAGCTCAGCACAGCCTGCGTTGACAGGAGGAGGAAGAATGAGGAGGAGGAGGAGGAGGAGGAGGAGGAGGAGGAGGAGGAGGAGGAAGGAAGAGACAGGGGATTTTGATGGAGATTCGGAAATGAATGGACAAGGTGTTTGTACGGCAAAGCAAAGGATTACTTCCCATCAGAACAACGCCTACTCGAAGCCATCATGGACGAACAAGTTTGGAAAGAGTTCGCATCGAACTACAAGGACACGTGCCCGCGAGATCCTGGCGTCTCAATTTTTTCGAGCCGGGCGTTTTCGCGTGATTTCGGGCCCCGGGGCCCTCACATATCGATCCAGCTCAAACTAATGGCGCAGGCAGATGGAGTATGGGGCTCCAGGCGTGGTGCTTCACGATGCTGCACGTAGGAGTGCTACCTCGCCCGAGTCACCCTTGGGGCGGGCCCACAGGGGTCCCCCGATCGCCGAGCGCGATGCGATAGTAGCGTCTTGCGCGGTTCGCGGTTGGGTGCTGCCCCCCCCCCCCGCGGTTTCTAAACAGCGAGGACGAGCACGAGGATAATGGAGGAAGGAGGAGGAGAGGAGGAGGAGGAGGAGGAGGAAGAGGAGGAGGAGGAGGAAGACGAGGGGACGAGGAGGAGGTGAGGGAGGAGGAGAAGGAGGAGAAGGGAGGAGGAGGGAGGAGGAGGAGGAAGAGGAGGAGGAGGAGGAAGACGAGGAGGACGAGGAGGAGGTGAAGGGAGGAGGAGAAGGGAGGAGAAGGGAGGAGGAGGGAGGAGGAGAAGGAGGAGGAGGAGGAGGAGGAGGTCACGCTTCATTCTTACCCAGGGTCTTCCTTGCGTGGAGCCGACCGGGGGCCCCCCAGATCGGGTGTTGCCGAGGGTGCCCCCCCTGGCCCACGGCGGACGCTCCCAGGGCGTCCCAGAACGCTCTGGGAAGGCCGCGGCGCCCGAAGCATTATCCAGAGGCGCTGGCTCTCAGAGAGACTCGATGTTCTTCAGATTATATCCTCGTCCTGGCTTCGTCTTACCAAGGAGCCCCCAAGTTGTTCTCTCCGTTCTGGAGCCCCTGGGGCCCTCTGGGCCCCGTGAGGGGCTCCTGGGAATTCCTGGGGGCACCTTGGGCCAGGGGCACTTCTGGCAACTCCAGCCAAGCGGTGTCGTGACCACACCGGGTTGCGGCAAGGTCTCCCCCCCCCGCCCAGGGTTGGTTTCGATCCGAACGATTTGATTCGATATCGGCTCTGGCCGGCGCGATCCGATTCGTTTCCGAATTGGGTCTCCCCCCCTCGCGCGGTCCATCAACAAGGAACAGTAAGCAGCAAGAAGCAGAACTGTAACAGTGGAAACTGGAAGCTGCAACTGGTACAGGAAACTGCGAAGCTTCGGCCGACAGCAGCCTGGTGGCCCCACAAGGGGGCCGGCGGATTCTGCGGCCGATCTCATATTCGAATTCTCTGTGATAATAAGACCCTCCTGGAGTCCCAGAAAAGGCCCTCCGCTGTGATCCTGCGGCGTTGGCGACGGCGGAGGCGATCAGCGGAATCGAAGTGGGTACGTGCTCTAGCGGGTGCTTTGCTAAAACTCGCCGAAACACGCCTCGTTATGGGGGGGTCACAGGGTCGCTGCCCAAAGTTCCCTTTGG